GCTACACAGGGTTGTGGCGAGGACTGAGATGCTGGCATCCTGAAACTGCAGCTGGGGGAACTGACCCATTCGTCCTAGGAATCTGGAAGCCTTCCTCAGGGCTGCAGAACAGGGCTTGGAGTGGGCTCGGCACTCTGGTGAAGGGCAGACGGGGTCCGTGCACAGCGGTCAGCGCGGACTTTGCTCTGAGCTGGGTTCCCTGCTGGACTTGGACCCCAGGCAGGGTCTGGGGCAGGAGCAGCTGGGAAACCACACATCCTTCCCTTGGATGCCTTGCTGGGGAAAACAGGCCCTTCCTTAGCTGTGGCTTGCCCCAGTCAGATTCCTCTGTGTGTGTGTGTGTGTGTGTGTGTGTGTGTGTGTGTGTGTGTTAGAAAGAGAGAGAGAGAGAGAAATCTTGATGTGTGCATAGGGGTCTGCCATATGTGTCCATGTGTGGGTGCTTGTGACAGAATGTGTGATAGTGTGGGGTGAGTCTATGTGAGTCAATTTGTGTGTGTGTGTGTGTGTGTGTGAGAGAGAGAGAGAGAGAGAGAGAGAGAGAGAGAGAGACCTGTTCTGTCTCAATGTGTAATGTAAGAATGTGTTGGATGGGGTGTGTGATAACACGTGTCACAGCATGTCCATGTGAGGGTCTTGTGCATGTGGGAGTGTGTGTGCAGTTTTCCTTTCCCTAAACTTCTGCCCAGATACCTACAACCCTTAAGAGAAAAAAAAAAAGGGCAAAGAGCTAGGGCTCCGGCAGGCCCCTGGTCCAGCACAGGGGCTGATGGTGATGGCTGGGCTCTGGGACTGGGAGGTAGGCAGGGAGGAAGGCATCTGGGGGTCCTGGGACGAGTCTCCAGGGAAAATGAAGAAGTGCACCAAGCTGGGAGAGCCCGGGAGGTGCCGATGGAGCCCTCTTTCTCCCCTTTTCCCCTCTCTGGAACCCAGAGAGGCAAGGTGTCTTTCCTCCTACCCCTCAACCAAAACAGTGCCCAGTATTCAGAGTGAGAAATAAAATGGTAGGAGGGATTTTTGAAGTCAGCATCCATCTTTGGAATGCCTTCCCAGGGGCAGGAAAGCCCTTCGCCTCGAGAGCGTCCACTCCACAGACATCCTTTCTCTCCTCACGCTGCCTTTGCGCAGGGCTGCATAGTTCAAAAGGATGTTCTCTGCCTTATCTTGTTGAGTTGTGTAGTAACCCTTTGAGAAGAATCATATGCTCATTTTACAGGTGGGAAAACTGAGGCCCCTAAATTAAAGTGTGTTCTGCTGTAAACCAAGGGCTTGTGACCCTCTGTCCAGGGCTCTCTCCTGCATACTACTCCCTCCTCACATCCTCTTTCTCCTATTCTGCTTCCTCCCAAACTCCTGAATCTGAGACACCCCCTCTTTAATGTAACCTCCACCCAGCCCAGGCCTTCTCATTTGCCTTCATCCTCTCAGAGAGATCTCATGAAGTCCAGCAAGTTGCAGTTCTAAAAACTTGCAGCCAGCCCTCCTGCAGGCTGCTCAGGCCCTGAGCACCACCAGCATCACGGCCGTCCTGTCTGGGCCAGCTTCTGCTCCTGTGAGAGCAGGGGCTTCCAACCTCAGGCCCATCGCTCCTGGCTTGCAACAGAGGCTCATATCACAGGAGGCTGAAGTGGGGCCCAAGGCCCTCCCCACATTTCCTGCCCAGGGCCATGGAGTTCTGAATCTCTCCTCTTTGCTTTGCCACCTACTGTGGTTGCTGCCGGAAGATATCACAAAATGAGCAAATGATTTGTCCGTGGGCATGAACTATGAAAATATGTTCATTTCCTCCTTCTGAGAGTTTGTTGATCCCACATGTGGGGGAGAGGTGGGACCCAGATGCTCCAGGAAGCCAGGCCACTTTCCAAATCTGCTCTGCTCTCCCAAAAGCAGCAGAAATCAGGAAAAGGGCCGCCCCCTGATCTCACCTTTTCTCTGCTCCCAGAGCTGTTCTTTTTTGTTTTATTAAATATTTATTTATTTTTGTACAAGAACTGGGGTATAGGCCAGAGCCGTGGGAGGGTGAGAGGATTCACCAGAGAGAGTGGGGAGCAGAACAGGCAGAAGGACCGAAGACACTGCTGAGACAGGAGAGGTCTGCTACGCCATGTGGGTTTCCCCCTGGCCGGCCGGAAATCGAACCCGTGCTGCAGAGGCTGCAGACAGCTTCACAGCATGGCACTCAACCCGTTGCGCCACCGGGGAAGCCCTCCCAGAGCTGTTCTAACTCACTCCATCCTCACAGTGATGGGGTGGCAGTTGTGCCTATTGTTACTCCCATTTTGCATGTGTATATGCTGAGTCTAGAGGAATCTGAAACTCATGTATGCGGTCACAGGCTTTATATATGGGGGAGCCAGGATCAGGCTTGGAGCTGAGCCCGAAGCTGGACCGGAAGGTTCAGCCTCCTCTATGTGCACCTGAGCATGGGGCCTGCTGCTCTGGGAGGCCCCAGCTTTGTCTGGCCAGAGTCTTGCATCTGTCTCAGCTGCTGCCTACTGTGCTCCCTGGCTCAGAAAATCCACAGCTTTCCCCTGCCCTCTGCAGCATTCATGTCCCCCTCCCCTACACCTTTATCCCTGCTGGGTCCTCTCGCTGAAATGCCCACCCCTCCCCTCACAGGTCCAGTCTCTCCCACTTCTACTCATAGCTACCCACAGGTCCAGAGTCCCTAGTGTTTTGGAGTCTACACTGAGCCTGGCCCAGCCCCTCCCTGAACACTGTCAGCAGTTGCCTCCTCTGTTGTGTCCTGCAAGGCCTCTGACCCCCACCCCACCCCCAAGTAGCCAGGGCTCTCCTGGACCAGAGCTCTGTCATTCATCAGTGTTCCTCATGTCACCTCTTAACACCTTCACCCCTTATCCCCACCCCAGAGCCTGGCATAATATGGCTTCCATAAACACAAGTTAGGGTAGAGGCCAGAGGTCTAGGGACTTTGCGTGTGTGTGTGTGTGTATGTGTGTGTGTGTGAGCAGTATTTGGAGACTCTGAACTGGTGCAGGGAGAAGGTAGAGGACCCCTATTGTCAGGATGTTCCCTATCTTGGGGGAAACACAGCTCAGCCCTGCCTGCAGGGAGCCCCAGTCTGAAGTGGGGAGACGCAGCTCTGCCCTCAGGGAGCTCTAGTCTGAGGGGAGACACAGCCCTGCCTCAGGTTGCCCCAATCTGAGGGGAGATACATCCTGCCCTCAGTCTGAGACGGAGAGACACAGCCCTGTCTCCCTGAGGCAGTCTGAAGTTAGTTGCTGGCCCACAGCCTTGCTCAGAGCAGGTACCAGAGAATGAGTGGCCTCTGTCTTGAAGCTTCTTGGGGTGTTTGTTGGTCACAAGATTGGCCCTCCCAGTGGTGTCCTCAGTCTTGCCCAATCTCCCCAACCAGGCTTCTGGTTTCCATGGGATCCCTCTCCCAACTCCTGCCACACATTCTCCTTCTGCCCCAGTTCCCACCAGTGACCTTGCTTCCTTTCCTCCTAGGAAAAGAAGTCAAGTCCCACCTCCAGCAATCCAAGCAGGGAGGAGAGTGGGGGCGGGGATGGGGGTGGGGAGGGGTGGGAATTTGGTACACTAGCATCAGTTCTGGTGACATCCATGCTGCACCCCAGTTGCTGAAAGCAGTGCTGCCTTTGCTGTTGTGTTTGATTCCTTGTTCTTTTACTTAATTTTTATTTATTTTTAAAAAATATTTTATTTATGCATACAAGAGCTGGGGTACAGGCCAGAGGTGGGAGCGGGGGTGGGAATGAGAGGATTCACCAGAGACAGAGTGGGGAACCGAACAGGCAGACTAACTGAAACACACTGCTGAGGGGAGCAGCGGGCGAGGCAGGAGAGGTCTGCTGTGCCATGTGGGTAGCTCCCTGGCCGGCTGGGGATCGAACTTGTGTTGCAGTGGCTGCCGAAAGCTTAATAGTGCTGACTTAACCCCTTGCACCACCAGGGAGGTCATTCTTTTACTTAATTTTTAAACAAATACACTTGATCTTTGCCCTCAGAGGCGATCTGTCCTTCAGAAAAAGTGACCTCAGCACACACACTCCGAGAATGTGGCTGGCTCTGCCCTGTCCCTGGGACTCCCCAGGCATGAGAGCAGGACAATCTGTCTTTACAGGAGAAGTCTTGTAAGCCAGGACTCCAGCTTGAACTGGCCAGAAACCAGACCAGGGTGTGTAGGGCTCCACGAGCCAGAAGTGGAAGCTTCTAGAGAGAAGCTATTTTAATTTTAGTACATGGGCACATTTTTGTGATTTCAAAAAGTGAAGTTTTGTTTTACATTATGTATGGGCCCTAAATTTTACACAAGGGGCTCTCTGGTCATTTCTGCATCTGTAGCCTCTAAATGTGGGAATATTTATAATCTTAAGCCTGCTTAGGAAAAATAGCAATAAAAAGGAAACGCAGTCCCAAGACATATCTAAAGGAAGTATACAGCAGGGTTCCGAAGGACAGTTCTCACTTGGGTGGGTCTGCCTGGGTCTCTGTGCCAAAAAGCTTATTCTGTTACCTTACCTGAAAATTGAGGTCTCTCTCCCCCTACCCATAGACAGGAGGACCCCTCCCCTTGCAGGGCTGCCCTCCTGTTGTGGAACATTTCAGACCCCGTCCCTCTCTGTTCTTAGAACCCCCCCTCCTCCAGTTGGTAGAAGCGGGACTGAAGATTTGATTTGTGTTGTTATGTCAGAAGGGGACCCTGAGGGTCGTGCTGATCTGGGAGCTAACATGATTGCATCTTGCAGGAGGGCAGCTAATGGCTTTGTCACACACGCCCAGGGCCCTCCAGTGCTCCCTCACTGTCACTGATCCAGGGACCTGGGGTTGTAGCCTTAGCTCCGCTCCCTGAGATGCTGTGCAACCTTGCCGGAGCTCCTCTCCCACCCTGAGCCCTACTTGAATGGTTGAAAGTGAGAGAACCTGGCTTCTGGGCTCTGGAAAGGAGCCCATGACAAAAAAGGAAGTCTGGGCCCTGAGGAACACTCCCTGCCTTCCTGGGGAGGTCAGAGGAGACCATGAATGAGACACAACATTCCCCACCCCTTCTTCTCTCCGCCCCAGCAACATCCAAGAGAGGTTTGATGAGCAGTCAGTACACAAGCATCTTGCCAGGGCCCTGGGGGAGGTAGAGGTGGAAGAACACCTACTGGAGCCTCTCTGTGGGGGTGTCTGGTCTCTTTCCTTTCAGAGCTGGCCAATGCTTGGTGGAGTTTAAGGCTCTGTGGTGCCCTGGAAATCAAAACGCCAAGTGTGTGTGGGGGTGGGTGGAGAGTCGAGGGCAGACAAGAAGTTGACCAGACCCACAGCGCCCACCATTTCTGCCCCTCCCCCCAGGGTGCCTCTGTGTCCCTCTCGGAGACGGTGCAGAAATGGCGAGAATACCGGCGCCAGTGCCAGGATTTCCTGACTGAGGAGCCGCCCCCAGCCACAGGTGAGTCCAGATGGGGTCCTCATCCTCAGTGCTCCCCACTCCACCAACTCCCAACTTTTTTAAAAGGCTCCGAAGGCCCCCAAGTCCATGGTTGGGCTCAGAAATCCTTTTAAGATCACACATTTGCCCCGTGCCTCCATTCCTATGGCCAGTCTGTTCCCTCACCCAGATCCTTCCTGCCCTCGCTACACCATGGAAAATTCTCTGAGTCTTCAGGGTCCAGTAAAAATCCCAGCTCCTCCAGGAGATATTCCCACAAGGGATTCTGAGGTCTTTGGCTCTTAACTGTTGACTCCGCAGTCAGCCACCTGTTGCTGTCTTAATCCTCCTCAGCCCTGGCTTGGGCCCCTCAGGAGCAAGGACCTGACCTTTCCATGTTATGTCCTGCTCAGTTCTTCCCACCTGTGGAGGGACTACAAGCAACATTTATAGGAACAAATGTTTTGGGGCAGATGGTGGGGTGAATTGGAGTCAGATAGGCCTGACTCTGAAATCACGACACGGTGACCTTAGGAAAGGTGTATCAGCCTCGGGAGCGTCTCCTTTCCCTTCATCTGTCATGTATAACTTAAGAATAGGCATTTAGGGGTGGTTTATTGAGCACTTCACTGTGTTCAGGTATCTACAGAACATATACTGTTAATTCCCACAAGGTCCTCTGGGCCCAAGGTGACCTCCATTTTACAGATGAGGAAGCACAGGCATTAAGTGACTTGCTCAAAGTCACAATACTGACAAGTGGCCTAGCCCCCTTGCTTGGCACCTGCTGGGTGGGGACAGTGCTTGGCACTACGTGAGAGCTCAGCAGTGGTTAGCAGGGTCCCCCCGCCAGCCTCCTTGATGGGGAGGGCCAAGGAGGGGAAGTACCCAGGCCAGGCTGGGACTCAGATTATTTTCCCTGCCCACAGGTCTATTCTGTAACCGAACCTTTGACGACTATGCCTGCTGGCCAGATGGGCTGCCTGGTTCCTTCGTGAATGTCAGCTGTCCCTGGTACCTGCCCTGGGCCAGCAGCGGTGAGCCCCTCCCCCCGCAGAGCACCCTCCTCCCATATCCAAGAGGCCCTGGTGGGGGAGGTGGTGAGGGGTTACTCCTTCCTTTCATCTGTGACACAGCCTCTCACCCTAGAGGTCTTATGTCTCCTCATGAGTGGTCTGCTGTCTTCCAGGAGTGGGGGAACAGGCACTGGGGGTAGTTAGCAGATGCCACCGGACCTGAGGCTTATGTTGGCAAATGGTGGTGGTAGGGAGTGTGGGGTCTGACTTAAGAGAGAAAGATCTCTCCACCTACCAGTTAAAAAGGGAGCCTGGGAGTGGGGTGTTACCCAGGGCTGTCATTGCTCTGATGCATGTGTATGTATGTATGAATAACGTGTTTTTATGGGTACCCCTTATCTGGTAGTGGCACCCAGGCACCTCCTGACTCTTTAGGGCTTCATGGGCCAGGGTATTGGGGGTTGTGCCTCAGGCTCTTTCCACCTCACTCCTGCCTGTACCGTGTAGCTGTGTAGTGAGAGGGTTGCTGGGGTACAGACCTGCCTGGGAACTGTGACTGAGAGGTATTTAATGCCCTCCCACCTCTACCCACCTTCCCAGGCAACGGGAAGACTGATAAGAGGCCAGCACCCTTGCCCCAAAGAGCTCAATAAATAACTGATATTTATTGTGTACCTACTATGTGCCAAGTCCTGCCTTACAACAGAGTATGCACTTTGTCTTTACAACTACCCCTTGGCTCTGCTTGTTGTACAGATGAGGAGAGTTTAATCACCTGGTCTGAATGCGATGGGAAATGGCAGAGGCAGCCTGGGAACCCAGCCTGTGCTCTTAACCACTGTGCCTTGAAGGGGCTGGAGACCAAGCAGACATTGGCCCAGAAGCAAGCATGAGAGTGAGGTCATACAGTGAGAAGCCAGAGGTCTTCCTGGAGGTGGTGGCCCCTGAGTGGAACATCGAGCCAGGGCTGGCGTGAGCTTCACCTCAGAACACAGAAATGAAGTGAGATGAGGCCCAGGTGGGACTCCTAAGGAGTCTCTCTCCTTCTCCCCCCTCCCAACACACCCATCACACTCTGAGGGGCACAGGGCAAGGCTGGGCCTGGAAAGTGGCAGGCGTCTGGGCAAGAGAGAGTGGCCCAGTGGCTCCTCACACAGTACTTCCATGGCCTGTTGTAAGCACTTTTTGTTTGTACACTCATTGAATCCTCACCACAATCCCATGAAGCAAATACTCTGATTATCCATTTTACAGAGGAGGAAACTGAAGCACAGAGATGTTAAGTGATTTTTCCAAGCTCATACAGCTAGAGAGTAGCAGATCCAGGCAACACTCCAGGAGTTAGTCTGCTTAATTGCTGCACCAAGTTCCCTTCAGTATGCATGTACACACGTGTGCATGTGTGTGCATGTGTGTGCACGTGTGCTCCTGTGCCTGTGGTTCTGAGTACAGAGACAGACGAGTGGCCTGGGCCTCTGCTGGCTGGACACCCTAAGGTAAAGCAATGAGCTGCCTGCCTTCCTTCTCCCTGACCAAAAATTTGAACTGTGCAATCTGGTGGTTCTGCTGGCCGACTTTCTGAGTGGCTCTGTGTGCTCGAGCAAGTTCCCAGCCTCTCTGTGCCTCAGTTTGCTGATCTGGGAGATGGGATTCAGTCGGGTGATGTCGGTGTTGGGAGGTTTGCAGGATCTCAAAATATGGTAGCTATTAATTTTTTGCACCTACCCTACACACCTACCCCACCTCCCGCAATACCCATACTTTTCCTGCCTCCTGAGGCTCTGAGACTGGCTGCCTGGCCAGCCTGGGCTGTGCCTCTAGACCCCAGGGAGCCAGAAGCAGGACAGGGCCCATCATTCAGCACTAAGCCGCCCCCAGCTCTGCCTGCCACTGGAGGCTCCATCCATCACCTTTAATTTTATTTGAGCAGGAAATAGGTCCTGGTGGTGCCCGTTTATGAGCGAACACAGTTTTATTGCTTTCTCCATGAAGATAACAGTCGCTGCACAGGCCCCCTGCCAGCCTCCACCCCCTCCCCGGACTCACCAGGCTAATTCACTCCCTTTTTTGACACTTGAAATCATTGACTCTGCCTCCCTCCCCCTCTCCCTCAGTGAGGCCTCTCACAGAGACACCCTCTGCTGGCTGCTGCAGCATAATCACTGTCTCTGACCGGGTAGCTCCCCCTGGCAGAGGCTGGCACCTGGGGCTTCCCTGACCACCACCAGGGCCTGGGGGAGCAGGAAGAGGGAAGTCTGGAGTTTTCAAGGAAGTGTTTGTGTGAGTTGGAGTTGGGGAGACAGCAGGGACAAGAGGGGGTGTCTCAGGCAGAGTCCCTGCAGAAAATACACTCAGCTGGGAATTTGAAGAAAATTAATGGAGGGCCCCTTATAAAGTCTGGGCAGAATTAAGAGGGCAGTAGGTCTCTAAAGCAGCAAGGACTAGAAGAGAGCAAAGCTTTAGCGTCCTTAGACCCTAATGGGGCAGGAATGGGGCTACAGGAGCCACATAATAGCTGGAGGTCATGGTGACAGAGCAGGGCTATAGCCCCAGAGGGACGAAGCCACTGCCAGAACCTCCAAATCAAGGCCTGAAGGGAGCAAGGGAGAAACGACTCAGCCTCTCCCTCCTCCCCTCCTACCTTCTGCAGATTGACCTCCCATTGACCAAACCCATAGAAGGCAGCAGGCCCAAGCAAAGCAGCCCGCAGGGGTCAGCCTTGCAGGGTGTCCAGCCGGACAGGAGAATGAGTGACTCGAAAAAGAATGGAATGCAAAGTGGTTATTGAAGCAGCAGGGTTATTGCTTCTCGGCCTTTTGGCTAAGAGGAAGTGTTGAAGCCGCAGGGGCGTATCGGTGAAGATGGTGCTGGAGAGAGGGCTTTCCAGGGAGGGAGGACCGCGGACCCCCTGGGAGATGGGCCCATCTCAGACCTCAGCTGTCCCGGGGAAGCCCGCCAAACCCTTGGATTCTGAGCCCTCTAATTCAGAATTTGGGGCTCAGGATGGCGCGAGAAGGGAGGGACGGGTGAGTTAAGGAAGGAGATATCTGGTGTCAACAAGATTTTCTCTGTAAATCTGAAAGCCGGAGTGACTTCAGAGAGCCTGAGGGCCCTTCAGCAGCCTCGTTTACCCACAAACAGCTGATCTGCTTGTTACAAATCATTCCTGTCTCATTAGCTGCACCCCCTCCTGATCCCTACCTGTTTGTTAGCTTAGTTCTAATTATACGAGAGTCGTAAAATGCTTTTAAAATAGTCTATAACTCACAATTCTTGGAAACTCTGTCAGGCGCTTCCCCGAGTAATGTGGAGCCCGGGAGCTCTCACCAAAGGCCTGTGTTGTGAAGGGTGGACAGAGGTCCATTTTTTTTTTTTTTAAAGACTTATTTATTTATGCATACAAGAACTGGGGTACAGGCCAGAGGTGCAGGGGGTGGGGGTGAGAGGATTGACCAGAGACAGAGTGGGGAACAGAACAGGCAGACTGACTGAAATACACTGCTGAGGGGAGCACTGGGCGAGTCAGGAGAGGTCTGCTGGGCCATGTGGGTAGCTTCCTGGCCGGCCGGGGATTGATCTCATGCTGCAGAGGCTGCGGATACCTTCATAGTGCTGTGCTTAAACCCTTATGCTACCAGGGGGCCCCCCGTTCTTGACCCTGGAGGAGTTCCAGCTGAGGGGGATCTCCTGAGTCCCAGACCCAGTGAAGGAGCACCCTTTGAGAAACTGGGATGCGACAGCAGCAGGGCCTCCATCATGACCAGGTTGTTTTTTTTTTTAAAGATTTATTTATTTATGCATACAAGAACTGGGGTATAGAGAGGTGCGGGTGGGGCGGTGTGTGAGAGGATTCACCAGAGACAGAGCGGGGAACAGAACAGGCAGACTGACTGAAATACACTGCTGAGGGGAGCAGCGAGCAAGACAGGAGAGGTCTGCCACGCCATGCGGGACCCTCGCCGGCTGGCCGGGATCGAACCAGCGCTGCAGAGGCTGTGGATTGCTTCATAGTGCAGTGCTTAACCCCTTGAGCCACCAGGGAGGCCAATGACCAGGTTTTGTGGACCTATTAAGCACCAAGCAGTTCACATGCTTTATCTGCTGGTCCTTAAGCCACAGATCTGGGAAGTCATTATGGTTCCCATTTGACAGGTGAGGAAACTGAGACCCAGAGACATCTGCCGAAGGTCCCACTGCAGGTCAACCTTGAGTCCATATAGTCAGAAACTGAGCTGCTTCTCCCAGGCCACAATGTGATACTCTCCCCACTCCACTGCCCCAAATTGACGCCTTCAGTTCCAGCCCTTCCTTTGACCCTCACTCCACCACTCTGGGGTGTGCCTGGACCACCTTGTCCAAATCTTAGCTTCCCAGTCTCTATGTGCGATGGGGCCCAGTAGCCCTAGCTGGCTGCCATGGTTGCCAGGGTACGGGAGCTAATGGGCTCGTGAGCAGCTCTCCACAGCCCTGAGTGCCTGCGTCCATGTGGAAGGGCGGCTGGTGGCTTGATTATAGATGCCGCTGCAGTTTCCGGGAGGGGAAGTGTTTAATTGGGGGTTTTATTTCCAGCACCAGGGTCTGGCTTAATGAAATATTCCTGGACCTCCTGGCATGCCGCCGTTGCCTCCCAGTGTTGACAAGACCAAAGCCAAGTCTCTGGCTGTGATTTACCAGCAGCTCCCGGGCCAGATAAAGCTGGGATGATAAGCAGGACTGTGCCCATGCTCACCCTACCTTGAGCCAAGATGGGCATCTGGGGACCACAGGGCCGATCGGAAACCAGCCCTGGCTTTTAATATTCGCTGCTAATGAAGGATTATTGACAAGCGCACTGGCATGAGCTCCTGAGTGTCTCAGGGATGCAGTCATTCCTTGACACTGTGCCTATAACACACATCTGTGCATGCACCACCTCCCCACCCTCCCAGCAGGCCTAAGGATAGTGCAGACTGCTGGGGGTCCTCCTTACTGTGGGCATCTTCTAGAAGTCCAAGTCCAGAGGACGAGCAGCAGAGAAATTGCGCACGGCCATTGCTGACTGTTAGTGAGTTTGACTGTAAACTTAGGGCCTCGGAAGGCAAAGAACGGAGGGTTTGGATCCTGACTCTGGTCCTTCCTGGCTAGACCATCCTGAGCAAGTCATTGGGCTTCTCTGAGGTTCTGTTTCTTCATCCGTAAAATGAGATTAACTGTGCCCAGCCCTGTAAGGTGGTTGTGGTATTTGCGGTGTCAGACATGGAGCAGAGTCACAGACATGATCCTGTGAGTGCTCTGCCTGGAGAGAGAGCATGTGGGGCTGGGGGATCCAGCAGTGGTGGATTGGCCCAGTGCCAGTGCCAGGCTCAGTGCCAGCCGGGGCGAGTGGGTATTGTTAGGCTCACATGCTGGGGGCTGAGTCCTGGGTCAACCAGCAGTTCTGAGGTGTGTGCCCCATCGCCATATTCTTTCCCTCCCCCGGCCCCTCTGCCTCCCTCTGTTCTCACCCCTTCCTCCCGTCCAAACAGACTGGAGAGAAGGCTCTGGCTCAGGTTCATGTCCCATGGAGCCAGGCCAAGTCCCCTCCCTGCTCTGGGGTTAGCAATGCAGAAGCCTGGGTTGATCTCCTAGCAGAAGACTCCACCTCTGGTGAAGAATTCAAGGCATCCCCTCAGCAGATAAGAGAGGCATATGGGCACCTGAGAGGAACCCTTCAAGTTGCTAAAATCAAACCACATGCCCCCCATTCTCGGCTCTTGCCTTTGCCCAATTTGGTTCATAAATGGGGATATTAGGACATGACTTCCCACTCCCGGAATTCCTCCATTTGGATTTTATCTTTTCTTTCTCTTCCAGGTAAGTCTCTGTCTCTCTCTCTCTCTCTGTCTCTCTCTCTCTTTCTTCCCCCCCACCCTGTCTTTCTCTTCTCTCTCTCTCCTCTCTCCCCCCTCTCTCAGTCTCTCTCCCCACTCTCTTCTCCCTCCCCTCTTTCTCTCCCCTCTCCTCTCTCTCTCCCCTCTCCTCTCTCTCTCTCTCCATCCCTCTCTCTCCTTGTGGTAACTTTGGTTAGCAATACTGCCTAGATTTTGGGGGTACGACTTCACACCTCGACATCTCTATTCACCACACCACTCCCACCAGCAGTGAAGTCTCTTTTTCAAAGCAGAGTCTGCTAGAATAGTCCAACTGCAAGCTGATTTACCTCACTATGTTGCCAGAAAGTTCTGCCTTCTGAAGAGGGACCTGGTTCAGGATTTGTTCATGCAAGGGGGCAGGAGAAAGGGAAAGCGTGAACTGGGCAGTGGTGCTGGGTGGCTGGGATGGGCTAAGGAGGGACAAAGGCCCCACAGGCAGGCCCTCCTGGCACCTGACAGTGAGGGGAGAGGGCTCTCACCGGACCGGTCACTGCAGTAAAGGTCTTTCTGCACACAATATCGGTGGGCAGGTTTGGGACTGTGAACTAGAGACCCTGTCCTCAGTGGTCTGACCCTCCTGGGCCCTTGTGAGGCAGGCCCTCGGCTGGCCTTGCTCCCCATCATGCACACGTCCTGCCCAGACACAGGTCCTGCTGCCCTCTGTCCCGGAGGACACTGTTGACCAGCCACTGCTGCCCAGGGCCTGGGTGGTATCTCCATTCTTCCTCCTTCGCTCAGAGCCTTCCCCCTGCAGCAGGGGAAGCAGCTTTTAGTTTGTTCCCAGGGTCTGCTCTGCCTGAGAAATGCTAGAGGGAGGGCGCTGAGCCCTGAGAATTAGAAGTTAAAGTGGGGCAGTGGAGCTTTTAGGGTCACTACTGGTTAATGCTAGTCCTTGTCTGTTGTGTGATGTAAGGCTGGAGGCAGGGACATGGAAGTGGACCAATGTTCACCTCAAAGATATGGATTCATCAAACTGCATCCCGGGGTGGCTGAGAGGAAAGGCTGAGGGTGGGGCTGCGTGGTCGTCGCCTTAGTAACCCCTTTCCTGTTCCTGGGTTCAGAGAGCATATGGCAGAGGAAGGCGGAGTGGTGAGGGGGAGGTGGGGGAGAGAGATGTTACTAACTCTGAGGGGTCAGTTCTGAGGGAGCCGGGGTGACCCCGGGGTGGGGGTGCGGGGCATGTGGCATTGGGCGAGGCTCAGCTCCCCATCTCTGGCCCAGTGCTGCAGGGTCACGTGTACCGGTTCTGCACCGCCGAAGGCCTGTGGCTACACAAGGACAACTCCAGCCTGCCCTGGAGAGACCTGTCGGAGTGTGAGGAGTCCAAGCGAGGGGAGAGAGTGAGTGGGAGAGGTGGCTCTGAGTCACTAAAGGGGTACCAGGGGGTAACTGGGGCAGGGACCCCGGCATCTGGCAGGCTGGCCTGTAGCCATCTTGTCTGCTCCTGCTTCTGGGGGCTTTGCACACCAGGCTCTCCAGATAGAGGTGGGGTGTGTGCTCATCTCCCTGTCTCGGAAAGGGGCCCTGGAAATCTGAGAACCATCCCCATCGGTTACTCTCTTCATCCTGGGATCCCAGGTGGGGCTGCCCCTGGGCCTCCACCTGTGCCCTCGTGTAGGGGAGAAAGGACATGGGAGAGGAGGGCTCGGCTGCTCCGTGTCCAGCGTGTCCCATGTGCACGCAGGACTCCCCAGAGGAGCAGCTCCTGTCCCTCCACATCATCTACACCGTGGGCTACGCACTGTCCTTCTCTGCCCTGGTCATCGCCTCCGCCATCCTCCTGGGCTTCAGGTAAGGGCGCTGCTGTATCCTCACTTCCCATCCTGTCTCCTCGCAGAGGAGGGGATACCAAACCAAAACATCACTACCGCAGTCCCTCTCTTAAGCAATCTTCATTTCTAAAGGAATTATTGTGTTTCCTGATTATATTTGTGCAAGCACTAAGGTCTCTGTTTTGAAAAGAATTGGAAGAGAACATGTAATGTTGGGTTTTAACATTAAGTTTAACATTCTCTTTTTTTCTGTGAAATATTGACTTTTGCAATAAAAAAACAAAAGATTAATTGCTACAGAAGTTTACTGGGAAAAAAAAAAAGAGTCCACGAGCCCATGTAGACTGTGAGGTTGAAAACAGGATACAACAGTCAACTTTATCTAATCTCTGCCATGCAAATGTGTGCATATAACACTGCAAAAAAGAGAAAAAGGACCACACACACCCCACACACACACGTGTGTACACACACTTCTTGCGTATCTCCAAGCTTCAGCAGTAGATGGTCAGATTATAAGAAACCTTCTCCAGTGTAACTAGATTCTTTGTGATATCAGGCAAGATGTCAGGGGCTCAGAGGTCTGCTCTCTTTGAAACTTGTCAGCCCCTGTGGAAAAGCTTGTCCTTAGGTCTAACCTACGTGAGCCGTCCCTTCCAGAGTCCCAGCTTCTTTGCACTCTGCTTGGCCAAAGTGGGCCAGAGGAGTTGGGTTCAAAGACTGGAGGGATTGAGAGCAGGGACTTCAAGACACGGGCCAGCCCCCATTCCCCTGTGCTGAGCGCTGGCCCCCAGTCACTGCTCAGTACAATCACCCGCCCACTAAATACCTCCCCTTTCATTCTGAAGTACTCCCGAGATCCAAAAATGTAGTAGCCAACGCTGCGATCACCTATGCACTCACCATCCAGGCTACAAACTAAAGCCTCTGCTTCCTGGGTAACCCTTCCTGCACCCCTCCCACCAGAGGGAGCCCCTGAGGGGATCACTTCTAATCCCCACAAGTGTAGGTCCTTGTAAATACTCAGAGTGTGAGCTTTGCCTATTATTGGTGGCATGTTGTGCAGGTTCTTCTGTAATGTTATTTTTGGCCCAATGTTGTATTTTTATGAGATTCATGTGGATGCGGCTAGTTCTACTTGGTTTTAACTCTCTCTGCACTCTCCTTTGAATGATATATCACAGTTGATTATCTCTTATCTATTCATAGCATTTGAGGTGTTTCTTAGTTTTTCCTTCTCCTATCTGTAAACTTTGTTACAATGAACAGTGTGTTCCCCAAGGGCACATACCTCCTGGCTTTTGCCTTCTCTGAACAGCACTGCATGCTTTTGCAAATTTATTAGGTGGTGTTAAATCCTTCTCCAAAGCGGTCCTACCAGTTTGCCCTCTGACCACTGATAGTTCACTTTGCTTCGCATCCTCACAAATATTTAGTATTTTCAGTCTTAACAGTTGCTAATCTGAAGTGTGTGAAATATCTTATTATATAGCTTTAATTTGCATATCCCTGATTCCTAGAGACATGAAGCATTTTTTAATGTTTTATGCTGTGAATATTCTGCTTGTTCATACGCTTTGGTTACTATTTCATTGGCTCATTTGGGTTTTTCTTTTTATTTTAGGCATTCATTATATTGATATATCTGGACACTAATCCAGGATATACTCTCTTTTAGTTTATGGCTTAGTTTTTCACATTTTATGGTGCCATTTATGTACAGATGTTTTTAATCTTAATGGGCTGAAATAGATCAGTGAATCTAATTTCATTATGTAAATTTTACCAATAAATGATATCAATTGATAAAAACGTGATTAAAAAATTATCCATTTTTCTCAAAGACCAAATTTCTTTCTGGTCTTGCTTAAGAAATCTTATCTTAGAGTCTTAGGTTTGTTCTTTCATTAGGGTTCTTTGATCCACCTGGAATTTACTTTTGTCTATAGTGGAAATAAGAGATTTAATTTCATGTTTTCATATATACAAAAGGTGAGTTGCTTCAGTACCATTTGCTGCTCGCCCATCCTTCCCACCCTTGGCTTGTAGTGCTAACTCTGCCTTGAAGCAAGAGTCTGTCCTGCTGGGCTGGTTTCTGTCCTTGATTTCTCTTCCATTGGTCTAATATTTCTCCCTTTGCCAATGCCCCGGTGCCTTAACTGGTACAGATTGATTAAAAGTCATGGTTCTTTTTATAACAATTGCCCCTACTTTATGGATCTTTGGAAATCTGGACTTTTCCTGGTCCTCAGCTCTTAATAGGTTTTATAAAGTTTCATTAAAAAAATCTAACAGTTGGAATTTTTATAACTATATTTTAACTTATCAGTTAATGTGGAGAATAGCACGTCTTTCTATCCAGGAATGTGACATATCTTCCATTAATTTAAATCTCCTTCAATGACCTGAAGCAGGTTTTATTATGCTCTTCATAATAAATAGAGAAACTTCCCACTTTCTGTTAGGTTGATTTCTAGGTAGCCAATTAAAAATATTGTAAAGGAATTAAAATTCTTTTTTAATTTTTAGTTGTTGCTGCTGCTTAGAAATACACATATTAACAACTTTGCTAAACTTTGTTGTTAGTTCTAATAATTCAGATGGAGATTCTCTTGGATTTTCTGTGAAGATAGTCTATCATCCACAAATAGTGGCAATTCTTTTTCTTTTGTCTTCTTATGGTGGCTGGGATCTGTAGTACAATGTTGAAGAGATGTGATGTCATCTCCTGATAGCTAGATGGTCTTGATTCTGTTCCTGATTTTAAAGGGAATGCTTCTAAAGTTTCTCAGAATATTTGCTCTTGATTTGGGTAAATTGTCTTTATCAGGCTAAAAAGACTCTCATGTTTTCTGTTGGCTACACATTTTACAAGAAAGATTATTGAAACTCTATGCAATACTTTATAAATCCCTACTATGTGCTTAACCCCAGTATGTCTCTATGAGACAGCCTGGAGGCATATAAGATGTGGGCCCTGTGGTCAAGGAGCAAAGCAAAGCCCTCTTTCGGAAGGGTGTTTCTCAAACACGAATCACTTGGGTTACACATGACTTTATATAAAAGAAGATGCCACAGAGAGAAGGGTATTCCGGGATGGGTTGGGAGCAGTGGCTTCACAGCTGAAGGCTTCATGGAAAGGCAAGACCTGAAGGATTTTCAAGGCTGTGGGGAAGAAGAGCATTCTCAGGGCAAGGAAGACACTGGCGTAGTCTCAGAGCATGCCTGGGGTATGTATTAGCCTGAGGGCCGCAGGTAGTAAAGCAGAACTCTTGGCCATCTCGCAAGGGAAGTGTCCTGCTCTCCCCCACAGACATCTGCACTGCACACGGAACTACATCCACCTGAACCTGTTTGCATCCTTCATCCTTCGAGCTCTGTCCGTTTTCATCAAGGATGCGGCCCTCAAGTGGATGTACAGCACGGCTGCCCAGCAGCACCAGTGGGACGGCCTCCTCTCCTACCAGGTATGTGTGTCCCAGAGGGCCTGGGGAGGGATGGGTGGTCGGTAGCGGTCAGCCTGCCCCATCCCACTGGCTAAAGAAAGGCAAGAGCTGCCCATGCCTCGGAGCCCCTCAACTGATGGGAGAGGCAGTGCATCCTGGGCTTCCCCCACCTCCCAGGGAGGGAGACACTGCCCCTGCCCTTTGGGAGTTCTCCGTCTGAATAGGGGGGTGATAAGGAAGAAAGTTCTGGGTTTATTCCCAGTTCTGCCACTTCCTTGCTGTGTAGTTTGGGGCCAGACATTTAACTTCTCTGAGCCTCAGTTTTTTCACCTGCTTGAGGAAAGTAATAGTTTTTCCAGCCAGTTTGGTGAGGATCCAACAAGCAGGTCACATTCTCAGCTCTGGCCCTGGTCAGGAGGCATTAGTTCCCTCCTCCTGCCTTCACATGGCAGGATAGCAGCTGGGGCAGGAGGGGAGGAGGGGCAGGAGAGGCAGGACCAGAGCTGTGTTCCCTGGGACCTTCCTCTGCCCCCAGGACTCTCTGGGCTGCCGCCTGGTGTTCCTGCTCATGCAGTACTGCGTAGCAGCCAATTACTACTGGCTCCTGGTGGAGGGCGTGTACCTGTACACGCTGCTGGCCTTCTCAGTCTTCTCCGAGCAGCGCATCTTCAGGCTCTATCTGAGCATAGGCTGGGGTAAGGCCCACCACCATTCACCTCACCTCCATCCCACACCCTGACCTGTGGCATGGGGTGGGGGGTGGGGGTTGGGAGGAGACCGCTCTTAAAACTGTTGCTTTAGGCTACACCCAGGAACCCAATGTGGGACTCAGAGCCTGCAGCTGAGCCACTGAGCAGTCCCCTCCTGGACACAGGACTCCTGCAACAGGGCTGTCAAGGCACTGCAGGGGGTCAAATCTCTTCTCCTTTGCGAAACCCTCTTCTCTTAATGGAAGCACAAGCCTCCACTCTCTGGCTAAACACACCACACACACCATTGGTAGTCACGACACTGACCTCAAATCTCCCTGCTCCTAAGAGTCTCGGGGGATGGAGCCCTGCCTCTGGGGCTGGGTAGTTAAGGCCCCGAGGAAAAGCAAAGTCCTGGGCCTTGGGTGGGACTGAGGGGCTATGGCTCTGTCACATGGTGAGGAAGAGAGGGGAGCAGAGAAGAAATGAGTGGTGGGTCGGCCAGGAGCCAGCTGAGTAGAGAGGGTGGACTGTGGATATGCCTGGAGCCCAGCTGGAAATGTTCTAGCCAAAAAAGTTTGCCGAGAACCATTGTATCTTTTTTTTTGCTGGAACATTTCTGATTGTGCTTCTGCCTCTCGCCATGTGGGATTAAGATAAGAACAAAGATGGAATGGGGCAGGGGCTGGGACACACACACACACACACACACCCCCAGGCAGCCCTCCCACCCCCTGCCCTGCTTCTTCTGGTGGGGTCTGCCCAGGAAGGAACCAGAGAACAGGCTCTGGCCTCACACCCTCCCTAATCTGTGGGTGTCCCCTTTCCTCACCACAGGACCCTATTCTCGACCTTAAACAGATCATTCATTTATTCACTCCTCTCATTCCTTCATTTGCCTGCCTCAGGCTGCTTTGGCCACTCTGCCCACTGACCTCAAGGACATCCCTTCTCAGCCACAGCTACCTTCCTCCCTGGTCATCCCTTCCTCCCACAGGCTGCTGCCCCTGAGCCTTTGTAAGGTGTTCCTGGTCCAGCCTGACTCCTCAGAAAGCTGCCTCAGGTTGCCCAGGCCCTGATTCCGTACTCTGTCAGGCCCTTTCAGCCTCTCTCTCACCTGTCCTTGCACTGCACTCATTTTTGCTGGTGTTCCTCGGCCCCGTAGCTCTGTACAACCACACCACAGTATAGTAACTCAAGGGGGAGTTATTGGTGTCTTAAGATGGAAGGGCCTTGTGGATAGAACAAGCACTCAGCCAGACCTCCTGACTCCCAGACTCTGCTGTGCAGACTTCTCAGGCCTGTGCAGTGTCTCTTCAGTCCCCTGAACTGAAGCTGTGCAGGTGGGCCTGGATTTTGCACACAGCTCCCTACCCTCGCCCTGACTCCCTCCTCTCCCAGGGCCATCTCCTCCCTGCTCAGACTTCTTCCCCTTCCAGTCCTCTTCATCCCATTAGGGCTGTCTAACAGGCAGAGGGCAGCTGGAGAGCCCTGCAGCTAAGTATGGGTGGGGGTGGAGCCAAGCCATGGAGGGGAGCTCTGGGAAGGCTGTCCTCAGGGTGGGGGACAGTGTCTATCCATTCTGGGAAATAGCATCAGCACTGTTAGTGCCTGTCACCATGGCGATCCAAGGGCAGGAACAACCAAAGGGACAGTGTGATGTGTGCAGAGGAACAGAAATGGTTGGTGGGGGGTTGGTAGGGATACATGGAGCCCTGGAGGTCTCTGCATGAGAATTAGGGGAGGGGGTGCCAGTCCTACCCCACTTCCTCATACCCCAGCTCGGGGCTCTGAGGCTGAGAGGGCTCAAGAACAGAAATAGGAGACCTCTATTTCCAACTAGAAACATCTGTGTCTTTAGGAATTAGGATGGGGAGATACAGAGAGGGGCAAAGGGACAAAGGCAGAAGGACAGGGCCTCCCTGGTGGCGCAGCGGTTGAGCGCTGGGTTGCAAAGCTGCCCGCGGCTTCTGCGGCGCCGGTTCGATCCCCGGCTGCTCCCTGGCCACCGGAGGAGGGTCCCACATGGCGCGCAGACCTCTCCTGCCGCCTGCTGCTCCCCTCAGCAGTGTACTTCGGTCCTTCTGCCTGCTCTGCTCCCCGCTCTGGCTCTGGTGAATTCTCTCACCCTCCCGCGCTTCTGACTATACCCAGTGCTTGTATAAATAAATAAATAAATCTTAAAAAAAAAAAAAAAAAAAGACAGAAGGACAGAGAGAGATTCTAGAAATCTAAGAGCTCTGTTATGAGGCCTAGAGCAAGTCAAAATGCTTGGGAAAACAACTTTCAGCCTCCTGTATGACCAGAGAAATTAAAATTAGGACCCCACCCCTACCACGGGCCTCCCCGGTGAAGCTGTCCGCAGCCTCTGCAGCACGGATTCGATTCCTGGTCAGCCAGGGAGATTTCCACATGGTGCAGCAGACCTCTCCTGCCTCACCTGCTGCTCCCCTCAGCAGTGTACTTCTGTCTGTCTGCCTGTTCTGCTCCCCGCTCTGTCTCTCGTGAATTCTCTCACCTCCGCACCTTTGGTCTGTACCCCAGCTGTTGTATAAATAAAAAATAATCTAAAAAATAAAAATAAAATAAAATTAGGACCCCAACACACTCGGGGGGGGTCCCCCAAATTCACATGAGCCTTTGCTGTGGTCTCACTGCCAGGGGCCTCATAATAAACTGCAGGGAGCTAACAGAAGGGAGGCAGGTGATGGAGGAGGGAATTTCACTCGCAGAGCCAGTTCCGTGTGTCTTAATTCGAGCTTTATCTTCAGCCTGTCTTGTTCATTTTCTAAATGGGAGAAAGATGAAACCAAGTAGGAAATGTGTAATGTGTGTAGACAGCAGAGCTGTGCCTGTGCTTTTCAAACAACTCTGTGAAGGAGTTCTGATGAATGAAGCTCACCCGGTCTGGCTGATAATGCGTGAGCCCCCCCAGTCCTGGAGTGGGCCTCGGAGAAAAGGGACAGCTGGTGTCTGGGGAAGCCCAGGAAGGAGGCCCCCTATGTGTGTGGCCCAGGGAATTGGTGTGTTCTTGCCTGGAGAGCTTTCCCTCTCTCACTGATATAGTGACTCCTTCATCATTCATTCGTCCATTTATCCATCTAATCATCCATTCTGTTCTACAGAACAGAATGTATCTAACTTTACTAAAGATACTTTTCACAAATCATCTTGGCATTTCAGGCAGGATGTGGGCAGTCATGAATAGTATACAGCAACTTTCAAACTCCCCTCTTCAATGGACTGCCCAAATCAGAAAGCCACTATCAAACCCAATGAAGTCTCCATGTGATGCTCTGAACAGGGAAAGATTAGCATGAGGGTTGACATTTCACATTTAGCTTGCTGTTTAACAACTTTTCCCAGCCAACCCTGGCTTTCAGGAAATGAAATGAAAATGGCAGATTTATCAATCTGAAGATCCACAACATAAAAAAGGAGCCACTGCTCTTTTGAGGGATACCATCTCGATGATGACACTGGCCAGTCCAGACAGCCTGGCATCCTGATAACTACCTTTTTTATTAAAGATTTATTTTATTTATGCATACAAGAGCTAGGGTATAGGCCAGAGGTGTGGGAGGTGAGAGGACTCACCAGAGACAGAGCAGGGAACAGAAAAGGCAGACTGACCAAAGCACACTGCTGAGGGAAGCAGTGGGTGAGCCAGGAAAGGTCTGCTGCGCCGTGTGGGTAGCTCCCGGGATGGCTGCGGGGATCGAACTCGTGCTGCAGGGGCTGCGGATTGCTTCATAGTATGGTGCTTAACCCCTTGCGCCACCAGGGAGGCCCACCTGATAACTACTTTTTGTAGTCAGGTCTCAACAGGTCTCTCTGTGCTTCAGGGAGTCGAGGCTATGCTGAAAGCAAAGAGAGAAAAGGACATAAAAAACGAGTTCTAGTTTTTCCACACCACAAGGCATTGGTGCCACCGTGGCTAATGTGTGTCAACATCAAGGAATCCCTCAAGGGAACCACAAGGAAGATGAGAAGGGAAGGTGTTCTCTTCCGGGCAGCAATCCAACTTCAGAGACATTTTATTAATGGCATATCCCTTCCCTAAAAAGTGTTCTGTGAGGTAACAACACAGCTTAAAAAAAAAAGGTAAAACAAAATTCTGCATTTTTATAAAACTGGATGAAAACTAGTATTTCAAGCTGTACAGTCACCAGAAGTGGTTTCTCAAAATTGCACATGCTTCATTTGGCATCTCCAGCACCTGCAGCTTTCTGTGCCTGGTCTGTTTGGGCACCTGCAGGGTTGTGCCCATCCTTACCAGCGTCAGCTTTACCCTTTTTTGGGGGTGCCTTCTCCCACTTCACAGGGGCCTTTCTAGTCTTGGGCTCTGGCTTCGGAAGAGCAAATTTAGCAGATAACCTTGGGAATCTTCTCTGGGGTCCGTCTTTCACTTGGGCCTTATCTCCTATAGCCTCCCCTCCAGCCTTTCTCCTGAGCGTGGTGGTGATGGCAGGGACAAAGGTGTGGCCCCTTGGGTACAGGGGCCAAGGGGCTTTGGTCAGTCCAGGGGAGTCATTCTCACCTCTTCTTCACCCTGCTCCTCTACTGAGCATTTTCATATTGTGCCCCAAATTGTGTCCTGGGAGGCCATTCATCATTGTCCAATCTCATGAAGGCCTACTGCTATTCTGTGAGCTGCTCTGCCTCCTCCATTCCCGTCTGCACCAGTAGGCACCCAGCCAAGTGTAGCAACTGCTCCAAATGCTGAGCAGACATCTACGAGTGAGGACATTCACGTTGGTGATAGGAAAGGCCCAGAAGTGGTTCTGCTTTGAAAGTGTGCTCCTGGGGGAGATGCCCTAAAGCCACACGTGCTTACACCTGCCCCCTCCCCTCAATGCCTTGCCTTAGGATGCATGTCTTTGCCCATCTGCGTCTCTGAGGGAGGCACGGATAGAGACAGGCAGGCAGAGAGTTGGTGCAGAAAGCCACTGACGGTGCCAGCATGGGTGTGGGATTCAGCCCTGCTGCTAGTCCCTCCTGTACCCTCCTGAGCTCCTGATCCATCTCCATCTGTCATGTGAAGATGGATAATCCGATCTGAAATCAACAGACACTTACTGAGCTCTCAGGTGAGCTGGGCACTGAGGCTCTGAAAATGAATGAGTCTCCCTATTCCCTTAGGTACTGGAAACCGGTTGTATCAGTGATCTCTTCCTAACAAATGACCCCACTCTTTAGCTGCTTAAAACAACAAGCAGTTATTATCTCGCCATTTTTAAGGTCAGGAATGGTCCAATTTAGCTACTGAAACAGGTCTCTGACAGAGAGGCAATCAGGCAGTCACCCAGGGTGGCTCTCACCTCGGGCCTCACTGAGGCTGGAGAATCCACTTCCCAGCTCACTCATGAGGTTGTTGGCAAGAAGCTCTGGTCCTTGCTGCCTGTTGGCTGGAGTCTCCATTCCTTGACCAGGGCCTCTCCTTAGGCTATGCAAGTGCCCGCAGGACACTGCCACTGCTGTCCCTCAGGGCAAGGGTTGGAGACCATCCCAGAGGCTGCCTGCAGCCCAGTCAGGTCTCAGCCAAGTGGAAAGTGTGCTGGCCATTGTTATGGGGCCAGCACACAGTTCCCTGGGCTGATGGCAGTAAAGATAGGGCTCCTGTTTTCATCCAGCGACCTGTAGGTGCAGGGGGTCAGTTAACAGCTGACTGGAGGGGGTTTCTAGTGCCTGAAGAAGTTGGCTGAACTGGGCATGTGGCCTGAGGCAGGGGGTGAAGGGCATCAGAGCTTTGAACCTTTCCCACCTCATCCAGCATGTCCTCTCCCTCCCCGCCCTCTCCCTCTGCTTCTTGGGTGGCTGTGTCTTCAGGGCTCAGCCAGGACCCTGGGGGCCAGCTCTGACAGTGTGACTGGCCATGGGAGGGGCAGACTGGTGAAGACTAACTCAGCCCCAGTGTGGTGGTTGGGAGGGACTGCTGCCTCCATTCTCACACGCACCCAGGCCAGCCTAGCTCCAGCCCTGCTAGAAAGTGCGGTTTGGGGCCAGGTCAGGGGAAGGGCTGGAGGTGGGCCAGACCCTGGGTCAGGAGAGGCATCAGGTGTGCATGCTTGGCGGTTGCTCAAGCCTGCCAGCCCCTCTCCCCTCTGTCTCTTTCCCTCTCTCCTCCTAGGTGTCCCCCTGCTGTTTGTTGTCCCCTGGGGCATTGTCAAGTACCTCTTTGAGGATGAGGGGTGAGTGTCCTGCTGCAGGGGTGGGTGCACCCAAAATCCCCTTCAAACCCGTGGGATTCTCTGGAATTGTTGGGGGGTTAAACTGAGGGACCAGGAGCTTCATTTACAAATTAATGTATTTATTTATTTATTTTATATATTTATATTATATATCGAAAGGGCAGGTTTTTTAAAAAAGGAAAGGGAAGGCAGGGATGCTTGCACAGACACAAGCGGGCAGAAAGAGCTGCCGTGGAAGGGACAGGTTTGCTAAAAGAGAGGCCTGAGAGTCCCAGGCGGGCAGCCTAGGGAGGAGAGCCGCCTCTGCGGCTTTGCAAGGGGAGGCTGGTGAAGAGACACATCTGCTTAGTCACAGGTGGGCAGGAGGGCTGCTGCCCACAAATTTAGTTCTCTAATCCCCTCCTTCCCTGGGGTCGTGTGACCATCAGGGGTGCTGCATCTGTGTGGACTTGCAGCTCTGTGCAGGAGTTTCTGTGTTAACAGGGTGAAATGTTTTTGTTATTTTGTGTTCCTGTTGGGTACAGACCTGATTGTGGTCATGGGTCTGTGAAGGGTGGTGTGTCGTGTGAATCTGTGTGTGACCACAGTGTGACTACGTATTTAGGAACAAGTATTTCTGAGTGTGTGTGCACATGCGGTGTGCTCTGTGTGAGTCTGTGGACTGGTTGTTGCTTGCTGCGTGGCTCCTGGTGGCATGTTGTGTGGCTCTGTGTGTCACTTGGTATGCCCATGTGTATTCGTGTGCCCCTGTGCCTGAGCTGTGATTTGAGGGTCTCTGTGTGCCCTGTGAGGTGCCTGTGTGAGTCTCTCTCTCCTCCCCAGCTGCTGGACCAGGAACTCAAACATGAATTACTGGCTTATTATTCGACTGCCCATTCTCTTTGCTATTGGGGTGAGTGATAGTATGTGTGGGGGAGCAGGGGCAGAAGGGAGTCATGGTGGGGCTGGGGTAATGCCCAGGGAAGGACTGGGGAAAAGTGAGCATCTTGAGAGTACCCCCAGCTACCCTCCCATATGCCCTGCAGGTGAACTTCCTCATCTTCATCCGGGTCATCTGCATTGTGGTGTCCAAACTGAAAGCCAATCTCATGTGCAAGACGGACATCAAATGCAGGTGGTGTGACTGAGCTGGCTTTGCAGGGGGGCCACAGCCCTTCCTTCTTGCATAGCAGAGATCCTGGGGTGCTGAGCTTGGAACCCTATGTGATTTTCTCCCACCCTGGCCATGCCCTCACCCTTATACGTGGGCAGCCCCTACGCTTTGACGTACCTGGACAGCCTGTCCCCTCTAGAGAGCCTGTCCCTGGGGAGTAGGGGTAGGAGGGTACCCCTAACCCAGACCTTGGTGGGGGCTGGGGGCACAGAAAGGAGACAAGGGTCACTGGAGAGGGGTGGAATGACATCTTCACACCACCCCGCCAGACTTGCCAAGTCCACGCTGACGCTCATCCCCCTGCTGGGGACCCATGAGGTCATCTTTGCCTTTGTGATGGACGAGCACGCCCGGGGGACACTGCGCTTCATCAAGCTGTTCACGGAGCTCTCCTTTACCTCCTTCCAGGTGACCTCCCAGTTGGTACCTTCTTTGTGAAGTCCCAAGTGGAGGAGGGGCTGGGACGAACCTGCATCGTGCCGATGGGCTGGCTGAGGCCAGGGGGGACGTGCTCCTTACCCAAAGCAGAGCCAGAGCTAGAATCCCCCGCTGCCCCACACCAGACCTAGGCGAGGCTCTCTGGCAGCGTGGTGGGCAGGAAGCCTTCCCGATGGAGCCCTGGACCCCCAGTCTGCTGTCACAGGTGCTCCTAGCCCCTGGGTGGCAGGTGGTGGGCACCCTACTAGGTACTTTACAACATTGCGCATCTGATCCTCACAGAATGCCAAGGGGTATGCAGGATTCTCCCCCACTTTACAGAGGAGGAAACTGAGGCTTCCAGATGCTAAAAGATATCTGCCGGGGCACATGGTTTCTAAAGGCAAAAATTGGTTTTCTCTACCAGCATTCGATGCACTAAGGAAGCATGCGTGTCAGCGAGGGCGTAGAGATATAAGAAATTGGCCCCAGTGCCTTTGGAAGGATATGGCACTGCCACAAACATGTGCACTTACATGCATGGACACACTTAAACACATATGCACTTGCACTCCTCCACATAGCACCGGGGCTCCTGAGTGAACAGATGAGGAATGGGTGGGGAAGGCCCCAGGAGCAGAGATGATGTACTGTTTGGGCTCCACCCCCTCAAGGAGAGGGTTCTTGAAGAGCTTCTGAGCAAGGGAACCCCTTGTTCTTCCCAAAGGGAAAGAAGGAACCCAGGACCCCCACCTCCAGGTCTGCCTGGGTTGCCCCATCTGAGGAGGATATTGGGGCTGACCTGGGCCTGCCAGCTGGTCTCCTCCTTCCTGCTTCCTCTCTGCTCATATGACTTTGTTTCTAGGGGCTGATGGTGGCCATCTTGTACTGCTTTGTCAACAATGAGGTAAGGCCTGAGGCTGGACGTTGGACCCTGGTGGCCTCTTCCATGGGCTGCTGTGAGTTATGCAAAGGGGACTCCCCTCAGTCTTTTCAGCTGAAACCTCCTCTCACCCCAATGAGGCACTAGAGTTGAGGAGGTACCTTGTCCATGTATCGTTTTCTATCATGGTCTCTCTCTCTCTCTCACACACACAAACACACACACACAAAATCAGGCATACCCTAAAGGTATGTGAGTTTGGGAAAGACCCAGCTCATGGAATGGAGATCCTGGCGGTGAGTGTTATAAGGTGATTCAACACACACGCCCCCTCTGAGCTCCTCAGCTATGGGTGCCTGGGCATGGGCCCTGACTAGGTGTCATAAATGCCAGAGCATATCCTCTACCTAAATCCTTCCAGAGGGGAAATCAAAGCATAGTCTTAGAGGCAGCACTAGGGCTTGTGGGAAGTAACCACAAGAGGGTTAACCCCCAGCAGGGAAGAGAGTGTAGGTAACCCCCTAAACCCCAGACTCAGGAAAAATGAGAACTGTGTTAACTCATGCCCAGGTAAGAGTTTGCCTCAGTGGGGCTGCGTTCAGACTCCTCAAACACCTGGCAGTCTCTGGGCCACTTTTGTGTCACTGAGTCTGAGGTCCCAGAGCTCAGGCAGCTTAGAGCCAGTGCATTAATACAGAGTTGCCTTTTGCTGTGGGTGAGGGGCACCAGGGAGTGGTGGGTGAGGGCCTCAGTGCCTCAGGGAGCCATTCGATGGCTCAAAGACAGAATGTGATAGTGCAGGAAAGACGCAGCAAAGGTGTGGGCTCCGGGCAGGTCTACTCTAGTCCATTGGACATGTCACATGCCCACTCCAAACATCAGTTCTTCATCTAAAAATGGAGGCAGTAATGTGAAGACTTCCCATCTCTAAAAGGGAGGGAAATAACATTTTCTGAGAGCTGACTGTAAGATACTCATGTGTTTTTGTTAAATCAAAATCCTATTAGCAGATTTATTACCGTTTTACAGATGAGAAGATTAAGACTCAGCAAATTGAAGCGAGTAACCCTCAGTTCAACAGCTAGAAGGTGGTAGAACTAGTAGGCCAAGAGAGGGTCCCAACTGGTGTCTCAGGGTGGCTGGGTGGAGACAGCACATGGCAATGGGTGGTGCCCATAAATGGGTTCTGGCTATTCCCATGGGCAGGTCTAGTGGGTCCACCAGGCTCAGCTTGAGGTGGGTCAGGGAAGGAAGGAAGGAAGGCAGGTGAAGGCCACACTCAGAGGGGCCTCCTTCTCCCCCTGGTCCTGGTTCTCACCCTCCCCATCCAAGTGCTCATAATAATACCTCTGCAGCCTGGTGTTACTTTTAGGCATTGTTCTTAGCCAAAGGTATGATGTGCTACCTGGTCCTCAGCTCTACTGTTTTATTTTCCAGGAGACAGAGGTGGGTGGCAGGTATCCCCATGTGGCCAGGGGACAGAGACTGGTGAAGAGATTTTAAGGCTCCCTACTACACCTTCTCACCGTCTTGTCCTTTAGCCCCTGTTTCTACTTCTTCCTCTTTCCCCAAAGCCATGCAGCACACTCACCATGTCCCCCACCACTTGTATGTGAGGGTGCATGTCTTCCCTGCCACTTCTGTGAGTCTTCCCTAGACCCGGGCTCAATCTCCTCTTCTGATTGCATTCTTCCAAGCCCAGCCACCCCATCACCTGATCACTCACCTGCCCTTGAAAGATTTGCCTAGCTTTGCAGAAGTGGGGGATCGGCACCTCCCCTCACTCTGCTCCTGGAAAATAACTGACCCTGAATCATCAGATCCCCGACTGATCTCTCCCTCCGGGCTTCCCTAGGCTTCTGTCTGGCGTTCAGCAGAGACCGAGCAGAGGAGTGGTGGTAGTGGCAGATCTGGGAACTTACCTAGTTTAAGTGCACCACACAGCTCCTTTAAAACTTCCCAGGATCTGATGCCTTGTGCATTGGCTTCTCCACACACAAGGACGAACATGTCACCATCACTGGGCCACAAGACACATGTAGCTCCTGGGCTGAGGCCTCCATCCACAAGAGCTGTTCTCTAGTCCTGGGATTGCCATGGCAATGCCAGGTGCTTGTGACCCAAGGAGAAAAGATGCCCTGGACACTAGTCCTGCCTGGTTGGCAGTGTCAGCACCAGTGCCGGGGGAGGGCTGGGTGGAAGGGCAGTGCACACAGGAGAAAAGGCCTAGACTGGCTGCTGTCCTCTCATGCAGCTCTTGAGAGTCTGTGTGCTGGTGTGGGTTCTGCCACGACTAGCTGTGTAACCCAGAGTGGTCCCTTTGTCTCTCTCCAAGTGTAAAAGGAGGTGAGTGAGCTTTACCAATTCATCCAAATCCCAGAGCCTGGCCTGGTGCCTGCCAGAGAAGACATGGGAGGCAAAGGCAAGTGAACTTGGTGTATGAAGGAGCACATCGTCCCCAGAATACTTTGTTGGTTTGGTGTAAGGACTCAGTCTCAGAAGCCCGTGTCAGCTCACTGTTTGGCTCATTTAAAAACACACGTAGTAGAGTACCTGCTGCCTGCTGGGCCCTGTGTGAGGCTCAGGGAAACTGCATGAGGAAGATATCCAGGCACCCAGCCGAGTGGGGCGGAGATACCGCCAGAAACAAGCGTGACCCAAACAGTCATGAAAGGCTGGACGCCAATGGCAGGAGTCAGCTCAGATAAGGTTCAAGCCCTGGATGAGAAATGCTTCCTCGTCATTAATCAGGAAATAATAACAGGAGCTGCTGCACAGGGTCGTTACGAACATTAACTGAAATTTTCTATGGAAAATTCTGGGCATAAAGAACAGAGGTTCCAGAAAAGTGCTGAGGGAGATGGGGGTGTGAGGGGACATGTGTGTCAGCACGCAGAGAAATCCTGGTCCTGCTGTTTTTCATGAAGCCTCTTCAGTCTCTGAGGTGGCTTCCCCAGGTGTGCCTCAGTTTATCGTCTTTCTCCACCCTCTCGCCAATTAAGGGCTGTGAGGCAAGACTGGTCTCTCTGCTACCACACAGGTAGAGGCCCCCCTCGACCTCGGGTATTCCCATCCTGGCTGTGAGCACACGCACCCCACAGGCTCAGCCAGGCAACCAGCTGGCACAGAGCTGGCTGGTCATAGTGGGGTCTGCTCAGCCTCCCTCCGGCATCCCAGCCTGGACTCTATGGCGCTGCCTGGGATCTGGGGCCATCCTGGCAGGTTCTGGGTCATCTCAGCTCCACTCAGTGCAGAAGAGTTCTTTTAAGGGATGGCATGCAGCTATGCCAGGCATCTTCCTGGGCTTAGCTAGATGGATGACAGCCTGCAGGAGGAGGAGAGGGATGTTTGCACAGGGACATTGGCAGCGTGCTGCTGCCTGCTACCGCCGCTGGCAGCTGGCCCTGCTGTGGCTGGAGCCTGAGAGGAGATTCCAGGCCCTAGACTTTTCTGTGTGGGGAGGTCTGGGGACAACGATGGGACACAGCAGAGAAGGTCTGGAAGCAAATGTAAGGGAAAGGCTCCCAAGAGACACTGTAGACCCCTCCAGGCTAGCTGTGCAAAATCCATCAGCCCCTCCACTGGACCAGAACCCCCCAGGCTCGAAGTGTTGGGTTCAACACTCCAGCACCCACCCTCCCTGTGGCCTTGTGCTGGCTGGGTGGCCCTCCCAGGTGGGACAAATAACTTGATCAAATAGCTTGAGTTTGCATTTTCCACCCCCAGCAACAACCTGGTCCCTAAGGTTCAGCCCTTTTGAGACTTTTCCTGATGGGGAGGCCTGAAGCCAGCCCAGGAGGGATTCAGTTTGACTCAGCTCACCTGGGCTGGGTTCATGGGTTGGGACTCATTCCTGGATGGGATTTGTTCAATTCTGGGCTGAGAAGCCCCCGCCTGCAGCCCCCTCCTCACCACTGCTGCTGGTCTTAGTCTTATTCCTTCTCCCTCCCTGTGGGAGCTGGGCCAGGGTGAGAGCCCTCAGGGAGATTCAAAGGGTTTGGCGTAGGAGAGGGTTTCCCTTTTGTGGTCCAGGCTGCATTCCGAGAGTGTGCTCTAAAGTCAGATTGTCTCCTCCTTTTCTTCTCTCTCCCATGTCCATCTCCCTGCATCTCCCTCTTCCGTTAAGCAGCACCGTGATGGACCGTAAAAGGTACTTAGCTGAGTCACAGAGTTTAAAGATGGAAGAGATCAATTAGATCATCAAGCCCATCTCTCTCTTGAGGAGACAACAATAAACAATTTTATTGGGATATTAATTTAGGCGCCTGGAGGCCTTGACTTGTGTCTCTTAGTATAATGTAGTGGATGTTTTCCCTTTCCTGCTAATGCAATCACGGGGCCATTCTGTGGGCAGTCGGTTTGCATGATGGCTTTCGTTTGCCTCCTTTTCCCATGGAAGGTCCAGATGGAGTTTCGGAAGAGCTGGGAGCGCTGGCGGCTGGAGCACTTGCACATCCAGAGGGACAGCAGCATGAAGCCCCTCCAGTGTCCCACCAGCAGTGTGTATGCAGCCACCTGCCAGGCCTCCTGCGGCTAGGGCTCCAGCACCTGCCCTCCCTGTGGCCTCGTGCTGGCTGGGTGGCCATCCCAGGTGGGACAGGCCTTCCTGGGGACAGAGGAAGGGGGGGTTACACATGCACACATACATCCCTGGTTTCCTTTCCCAAACCCATCAGACAGGCAAATGGGCAGTGCCTCCTGGGACCTGTGGACACATTTTCTCTGAGGAAAAGCAGCCTGCTAATTTGATCACTGTGGCTGGAGGAGAGGAAAAAACGATTGCTGCTAAAATGAGGAGGATTTCTTCCCGTTAAGCCACAAGGCCCCTGGGGTTCCCCCAGACAGAGCAGCAAATCAGCCCAAATTCAAACTCAAGGTCAATGGCTTATTAGTGGGCATAGGGCTTGCAGTAGGAGGTGGCTCTGATAAATCCCGGTCAGAGGCACAGGTTGGGGGTTGTGAGAAGTGCTTGCCTCCAGTTTGGGGTCACTACCCCTATCTGCTTCTCACTAACAGAAGCTGTTCGTAGGTCTGGGTTGCTTATCTCCCTCGTCTTGTTCCCTTGTCTTTCCACCCAATTTCTCTTTGGGGCCTTTGTTTGGGCCACCAGCAGCTATTTCTAGACATGGCTGTGGATGGTGTGGAGAATAAACATTGGAAAGGTGCCTGAAGCTTTCTTTTGCTGGTACCCGCTTCTCCCCTGGTGTTTTGAGTTACTTTGGTGCCTGTTTCCACCAGGCCCAGGGAGCCAAGGCAGGCCCACCACTGATGATCTGACCCTGGGTATCTAAAGATGCTCAAGGTTCTGGGGTTCACCTAGGGAACTTTGGGGATGTTCACACAGAGGGTGTAGATTACCTCCGCTGTTGGGGACCCAGGGGACTGAAAGAGATTGCCTCCACATCTCCACAGAAATACTTTTTATTTGTGAGAGGACTATGTATCATACATGGGAGTTTGGTGCACCCTCTGTCATTAGGGGATGTGACCAAGAAAAATGCTTCCGGGGAAACCATCCACTCCCATTGTCACCAGGGAGAAATTTTCCAACCAGGGAGCTTTATATGTGCTTTATTTGTTTTTCATTTTATTGCTGTGAACAATCTGTGTAAATGTGCAATTCTGATTTCTCACACCTGCTGAAATAAGAACTAAATCATTGTGGTGGTTGTGATGTTGTTTGGGGGAGTGAAGTAGTAATTGATTTTTGAGCTAATTAGTGTTTACCTTGCTTCAGTCCTATCTCATAAAGAATGAGCAGCAGAGAGGATAGTTGAGGCAAACCCATCAATCCTGCCGCGGGCACAGTAAGAAAGCAGACACATAGCAGTACTGCAGAGACCCAGACTAAAGGGGATCACCCATCCCAAGGAGGCTGGCAGCTGAGATTATAGATGCAGAGGAAGTTTCTGGGCATGAGAGAACTCTGGAATCTGGGCCTCCTGGGAAGGCAGTGGGAAAGGCTTTGGGTGATTTCTTTTATGAGTTGAGTCTCTCCCTACTCTTTTGTAAGTGATTGGTTGCCTTCCCCCAGAGGCTTCCACCAGATACATTCTCCTGTGCCCCTAAGAGAGGCATGTGTTATGCAGGAGAAATAATAATGGGATATAAAATACATCAAGCAGAAAATTTCTTATACTTCAGGTTCAGCGAAGTGTTGTGTGTATGTTAATAGGGAAGTTGGACCTCAGGCTAGAGAAGAGAATTGCACAGATGGCCTCTTTGACTGGAAAAATGTAGAGTTGGAGTCCTCCAAACTCACCCCTCCAACCTCACCCCTCACCCCTGGCCCCCAGAATAAGAAAAAGGGCAGAGTTACCAGGAGGTAACTTGACTTTCTCTTGGCAGTGGGGAGGCTCCAAAAGTGGCCAGTTGATGCAGGGTATAGCTCTGGTGCAAGTTTTGGATAACCTTGAAGATTTTGAGAATCACAAATACACCATAGTGTATTAGAGAGAAAGTCAGATTGTTATAGTCTGTGAGAAATTAAGATTGAAAAAGTCAGATTGTTATAGTCTGTGAGAAATTAATTGTTGAGAAGTTATGGGGAGGAAGTGTTTAGTTAGAAACCTGGAAGTTCAGAAAATTTGGTTGAAACCATGAATAGACTTCCCAACTGGTACTAGTGATCCCTGGTTTCAGAAGGCTTATCACCCTCCACACCCCCAAGCCTTTTAACTAAGGAACTTTTTCTTTCTCAGATACACACCAGATATAGAACTGAAGAAATATTTTCTTTACTCTGAGACCCACACTATTAATATTCATTTGAATGGCAGTATATTCTTCCCAAGCTATTCCCAAACTCTCCTAAGCCAAATATAGCTCCAACAGGTCTGGGAATGCAATGTACTCTGAAATTCCACTAGCTGTTTACATGTCTGATGCCATGAGCCTGGCACTTGCTGAGAAATTTTTTGCCTGCCTCCGTCCTGTTCCTGGCCAGCAGGATGTAGGTGCTACGTGTGAGCTGGACAGCATGCAAGGTCTAATGATGGTCATGAATCTGAGTTCAGCACCCTGGCCAGCTCCCCCAAATTTGTTAGGGGCTTAAATCCTTCCAACTCATTTTTGTCATTTTAATCTTTGGAGCAGCAAAATCACAGAACTGGTTGCAAAGTTGCCTTCCCTTTAAAGCAACTTTCCAGATTATGGGCATTATTTTCAATTGCCTCAGTGCAAAATCAGACAGTTGAAATTTGCAGACTCATAACAGTGAATAACTTGCCTGATCAGAGAAGTGAGGAGTGAGGCTTACAGAGGTGACCTGCCCAAGGTCACAGTGCTAGATAATGGTTGAGCTGGTCTAGACCCAATCCAACTGCTCCCTCCCAATCCAGTGAGAGACTGGGAAGGATAGGAGGAAAATACAAACAGCAGAGATACTGTAAGTAAAAGTCAGTTCACAGCATTATCTGGAGTTTCCGTTAATGGAAACACAGTAGCAATGCCAGACACAGTGGATGGTGAAGGTGCCATCTCCTCAATGATTTACATTGCTGAGAGGAGGAGACGGTGTGCTTTATATCTCTACTCGAGTTCCTCTTTCATCCTTGTCTTAAAATTAAGAAATGAAGTACATAACAACACATGCATACTCAGAAAGAGCAAAGGAGCCTTTTCAGATAGGAAATGCAGTGCACTCCTGGCATGGCTTTGCTTAATGTTTTTTCTAATGCAGCTGTGTTATTTAAGAAGTGGCATCAAAGCAACCCAGAGTGGACTGAAAATTCAACTTCAAGAAAGGTCCTGAGCCTCCCCTTTGTATCTCCAGTCCTCCCTGAAGTTAGAGAAGACTGGCAAACTGGGTAACATTAGCCAAGCAGAACAGGCACAGCTACCAAAAAGGGCAAACAAAGTCAGCTCACACCCATGCCCTGAAAGGCTGCCTCCTCATGGGTGTGGACCGTGTTTCAGCAGCTTCATCACCATTCTCCCCTGTCTCTTCTACAAGGGAGAACTCGTGTGTGTGTGTGTGTGTGTGTGTGTGTGTGGTGTGACACTGTGCATAGTTGCATAGAGTGAAGAGAGGATGAGCCCAAAGCACCACACCCACTGTGAAGGTCAGTGGGACGCACAACCAGGGTGAGGCTGGGTGGGGGCCCAAGCAGTAGATGCTCCGTCTCCATGCACAGACAGGACTCCCATTATTGCTAATGCCTGAGACGTGCTCAGGGAAGGCAAAATATATTCCAAAGGTTTGTTTTCCTTCCACTGAATTGATTATAATCTACAGTGCTGACCCTGCTTTTGCCTCGTATGAGGCAAACTCTATAAAAACCCTCAAATAAAATACGTCAGCTCACTCTGCTAAGGCAGCTATGTGAATGACATACTAAATATTCAACAGAACCAAATTAGTATCAGCTCAAACTTTTCCTCCTTTTTATGGCTGGAGAAAGAAAATGGTCCAATGTGAGAAACTTGTGCAAACAACATCACTCGGCCCCTGCGGTGTTACCCGCTGGCCCGCTGGCTCCCTCCGATCAGCCCTCTAGTCCCACAGAGGGGCGGGTCAGGAAACGTTGTTAAGCAGGATAATTTCAAACACTTGACTTAATGCCACAGTGTGTCTACAGTATCTATAATTACTTCTGCTCTGTCAGTGGGTACAGATTGGCAGGAAGCAGATAAGCATAATTGTTTTCCAATTAACTCCCTAACATCTCTTGGATTTCACCTACATGTGACATTACCAGAGGGAAGAGTTTTTTTCTCCTTCCCTTTGGTCATTTTAGCCAGTTTTTCGGGGTTTCATCTTGCAGTGGTACATTTTCCCTCTGATGCTTCCATCCTCCCACCTTCTTCTCCATACCCCCATCCCTGAAATGAGCTTCCCCTCAATCTTCCTCTTGCTGCCTCAGTAAGAGGTGACCCTGCCAGGTGTGCTGTGAATGCCAATATCTCAGCTGTGACTAATTTGGGGGTGCAGATGAGAGTGAGGCGCTGCCAGGGCTGAAAATGATGTACCGCCTTCCCACACTGGAGCAGCGGGGAGCATTGCAGCCAGCAGCTTGGATCCTGACTTACACTGGGGCTCTGTGACCTCTCCAATGGGGCCTGTCAGGGTATCAGTAATTAGGCAACCTGGACCATCTAGCTTAATCAGCACAGCATCAGTGCAGTCCAGGAGAAGGGAAACAGATATAATGGAGAATGAATATATGTGGTGAGAAGAGTTCCTGGCAAAGAACAAATATCAAAAGAACAAGTTAGCTTCTCGCTTCTTTGCAAGGCGAGTCTGCAGACATAATCTCTAACAGGCAAGATCTACCCCTCCAGACAGACAGGGCTGGATCTTGCTAAGCAGTTCACACTTTACTTATAAATCTGCAGTTCTTCTAAGTCCCTCCAACTGAAAATAATGATTACCTTCTCAAAGAAGATAAACCTCAGCATCACACTGGTTTGGGAGAGGGTTCTACATAGATCTCTAAATGCACCAAGAAAAGGTGAGCCACGCTCTTAGGATAAAGCTGGATTTCTGTCTGTAGTGCTCTTGGGGGATGTTTGCTCTTCATGAATGTGTAAACATGATAATTTTCATGCTATTCCTTCATGTATAAATTCATGTAAGATATGACCTGTGTCTATAGGTAGCAAATGTGTGTGGTGTATAATTCCTTGTACAGATGTGAACAGGCTCAGGCATTTTCCTAATTTGCCTTTAAATCAAATAAAAGCCTGTCATTACTGTGTCTCATTTGCTCTTCCTTTGGAAGAGGAGGTTTTCTGCAATGTCAACCTAGGTGACTCACGGTGCAGTGGAAAACACAAAAGATGCTGTTTCCAACCCAAGGAAAAAAAAACCTCGCTCATTACTCATATCGTGATTTTCATCTTCAAAGCACTTACCGAGTACTAATTTATCCATCGCAGCCTCTGTACAGGGACTGCAAAGTCATTTAATTAGAGAACTTGGGTGGTCGAGTGGCTTAAACAATGATTGACGGCCAAACTGGATGTGTATTCTCATTCCACTCATTCATTTGATCTCCCCCGTCTAAATAAACTCAGTCCATTAAATCCATTTTTTTAAAAAAAATGCCATAGAAGCACAAACCTTGTTTGCAAAGCAGCTACAGAATTTGAATGGAGCTGCTGTTCAGAGATTCATTTTCAGAAAAACAAAATTTTCTCTAATTTAAATAATCGCTCGGTCTCTGAATTCACAACTCACTCTTACAGAAGAGCAGAGGAACTTCAGAAATCTCCTTCATTCCTCTACCATTTCAGTTACTGCTTGAAAATCAATGTACTTATTTTAAAGTTTCCTTAAACACACCTTTTTAAAAGAGTGGTAATGGTCTCCTTCAAACATCATAATTCTTACTCTGAGAACAAACACAAATTAGCCAACTCCTAGAATCTGCAAACAGAATATCTACCAATCTTGTTTTCGACTTCATTCACTCCTCTATTGTCTTTCTTCATCTTCACGATTTTCATCTTCCTCACCTGTGTGTGTCTTTACCCTGCTACAAAGCAGGAGCAAGATGGTGCTTGGAGGGTTTTCTCCCTTCCCTGCCGCCAGGAAAACACCTGCCCAAACCAATTATGACCAGCACATTCGTAGGATGGTATAAGTCAGGTATAAGCAACCTCAGGAAAAGAGGGTGCACTTCGGCTTAATAGGGCTTATCTCCAACCTGAAGAAAGGATAAGGAGAGCCTCTGCTGAGGCCCAGCCACAGGGAAAACAAATGAGAATGCTTGACCTTCACACTCACCTACATTCACATGCAATAGAAAATACTGGTTTCCCACAGAT